TAATAAGGTTGGCACAGGACAGAGCAGGTTACAGGGCTATTGCAAGGGCACACAACAACAACATCTCCTGAAAAAATTCAGGAGGTGAAAGTATTTATGAATTGTTTGGTAATTAAGTAATATACATTCATCAGCAGTGTCTAATCTCTCTTTCCAGGCAATTCATTCCTGTTTATATAGGATAGTAATCTATTTTCCTAGTGGGATGCATTATTTGCCATAGTACAGGGACACAAGTCAAATTCTGACCCATACAAGGATATTTCCCCACAAGATTTCTCTTAGGAACTGCTCATACATGACATTTCCTATGTAAAGCATCAGTGATTAGTAGTAGTTAAGAAAAATCCAATATCTATCTAAAATACTGAATACCAAACTTGATTTTACCTTTGGTAATATCAGATAGAATGAACACTCTTGGCACCAGCAGTCAGGAAATCAAAAAATTAATTGCACTGGGAAATTCTGTCAAGGACCAGAGTACTGAAAAGCAACAATGTCAATGTAGAGACTAAGGTGTGCCTGATCCAGGCCATGGTCTTCACAATTACATGAAGAATCAATGCCTTTTAGTTGTGATACTGGAGAAGAGTCTTGAACACACCATGGACTGACAAGAAAACAAACATCTGTCTTGGAGAGGGTTAAACCATGTTTATCCTTGGAGGCTAGGATTTGGAAGCTCTGTCTCATATACTTTGGGCATGTGGTCAGGAAGAACCAGTCCTTGGGAAAAGAACATCCTGCTCAAAAAGGTGGAGGAAAAACACAAGAGAGGAAGACCTCTAATGAGATGGAATGATACAGTAATTGGGGCAATAGGTGTAAGTGTGTTTGAGTCAGTGAGACTAGCTCAGGACAGGGCAGGTTTTAGGGCTGTTGTACTTAGGGTCTCCATGAGTCACAGGTGACTCAACAGCACATAATAAAAACAACATCAGACATTTGAGGAGAGATTCCCTGTAATCCTTTGTCTATTTAAGTCTGGCCTGTACTCATTTGCAAATTAAATAATGTATAATAAATATGCTACCAGAAGTGGGGTTTATGAGTAACAGATTAATATCTATTAAAAGGAAAAGAAATATTATCTTATTAGAGCTTCAAAATCCTAGCTGCCAAGGAGAAACGTGGCTTAACTCTCTCCAAGACAGACTTGTTATTTTTCTTGTCAGTCCATGGTGTATTCGAGACTCTTCACAGTACCACAACTCAAAGGCATACCTTATCAAATGAAAAGTTTTGCAGTTGTAAAATAGTTTGTTAAACTCTGAATCATTGTCCTTTGGATCACTTAGCATGCCCTACCAATACTATATTGTTTCTGTTATTAGATGTCACTAAGTCAACTACAACTCACAGCAACTGTATAAATAACAGACCTGAATCTCGATCTATCCAGAGCTGTCCTCATGATCTCTGTCAAGTTACAGTCCATTGTTACAGTCACTGTGTTAATCCATTTTTTTGTGGGCCTCTTACTCTGACTCTCTTTCACAGCATGTCTTTTTTCCAAGATTATATGAGAACATTTTACAATCTTTTCCTCTGAATATTAGTTCAGTGTGGAGAAGATAGCAACAACAAATAAATAACTTTTCTGTGCTAGCTACAGCTGAAAATAGACATTTTTGACACAGTTTACACTTCTGTCCTTGGTCACAAATGTGGGAAGGTCAAAGACTGCAGCCTTAAATATGGATTGAAATGCAACATCAAGAAAACACTGATTCTCACCACTGGGCCAAATGGCAACATCATGATACATTAACAGCTTCAGTTTGCTCGGCTCCACAATCAACACTCTTGGTACCAGCAGCCAGGATATTAAAAGACATATTGCATTGGGAAAGTCTGCTGTCAGAGACCTCTACAAAGTACTGAAGAGCAATGATGTCAGTCTGGAGATTAAGGTGTGCCTGATCCAGGCCATAGTCTTTGAAATTGCTTGTTATGCACCAGAAAACTGGACAATGACTAGGGATGATAGAAAGTGCATTGATGCCTTTGAGCTGTGGTGCTGGAGAAGAGTACTGAATATAATATGGACTGCCAGGAGAACAAACAAGTTTGTCTAGAGAGGGTGAGACCAGGCTGCTCTTTGGAGGAAAGATTCTGAAGCTTTGTCTGACATACTTTGGCCATGTTATAAGGAGGGACCAGTCCTTGGAGAGGGTGAAGGACAGTGCAAGAGAGTAAGATCTTGATGAGATAGATTTATTCAGTGACTGTGGTAAAGGGGGTAGATATGTCATAGACAACAAGATTGGTACAGGATATAGTGGCTAGGGCTGTTGTACACAGGATCACTATGAGTCGCAGGCACACAGCAACAACAAGTAATACAGAATAAAATCTAGAGGCATATAGAATATAAGGCCTTATTCTGAGTAGGGTGGTCTGGTGGTCTAATCTGTAGGGAGTTGTTCAGTATGCCTTTTGGCACTTACAATCCACCATCTGCTCCAAAGGACAAAATGTAGCAAACTGTCTTGGAAACTCAAGGAAGGATCATCAAAATAAAACTGACATTCATTATCATATTTTGACTCTTGAGTATTTCTAAAGTCCTTTCTGCTTGAAAATATCAGCACTTAGTATTTTGGAAAGTGTGGAAATTATATCTGAGGAAAGGAGATAAAATTAAATACTTCATAACAACAGACCATGTTTCTATTGGTTTCTGTAAATCAATAATTACACACACACATCTGTATAGCTGGATAATGAATAAGGGTGACAGAAAAAGAAATGATGGCTTTAAGCTGTGGTGTTGTAGAAAAGCACTGAACATCCCACGGACAGTGAAAAGAATAAACAAGTCTTGGAGAGGGTGCAGCAGGAGTGAGTGCTCTTGAAGGCAAGAATGATGAGGCTTCACCTCACATACTTTGTACATGTTGCTCTGAGATGCTATTCCTTGGAGAAGGACATGATGCTAGGGAGGACAGAGGGTCAGCAAAGGAGAGGAAGATCTTCAGCTAGATGGAATAGCAGCAATGGGCTCTGTGTGTCAGGAAGTGTGAGTATGAACAGGATTCAGATCTTTTGTTCATTAGAGTCGCTATGAATCACACTCAATGGTACCAAAAAACATTACACACACACACACACACACACACACACACACTAGATGGCCTAGTAGGTAAGAATTGTGCTACCAACTCAAAGGAAAGCATATGAATCCACCAGCTGCTCAGCAGCAGAAAGATAGGAAATCTCCTCCCCTACAATTTACAGCCTCTGAAAAATATGGTTGGGGAAAAAAATGTCAACCATCAATCAATCTATGGCAGGTAATAACAACACTCCAAATATGTTTTATAAAAATATTTTCACAATTAAAAATAAAAGCAAAGCTACAATTTAAAAAGTCTTTTGTAAGACTGGTCATTTAATTTTCAACTTCTTTAATCTTTAAATTTAGTGC